TATTAAATAATTTACTATATAGTTGGTCAAATTAGTCAATATCCAAGGTTCTGTGACATAAGTGACAACATTGTTATGGTTAAATCGCAATTTCGCCCAAGTTTGGAAAAATTCTTAAGGAATATAATGTCATTGTCAGTGTAGGTATTTGTTTGGACACCCACTATTTGTACACGTTTTTGTCTACCAATATCGGGCTCTTCTACAGACTCTAATAACATGTGGGCGCATAATCTTGCATGGAGATATAAATAAGCCAATATGTTTATTTTAATTTTCTTATGCAGTATGTGATTACGGATGTATTCCAGAGGAAAAACAGCTCGTTTATAAAATTGATAATAAATAATATTGAAAGCTTCGGCGGATTTTTAAAAGGGCCTAAACCAAAATACCGTAGGTTATCAAATAACTGAGATACGGAGGTTTGTTAAAAACCAATCTGAGACACAAGGTATATACATACACATTTTATTTATAATTCATAAACGAAAAATATATAAATCTTCAGGCCAAACATTTATTTGGTACACTTTCAAGGATACTAACATAATGGGAAAAATCTGATAAATAATATATACCGCGAAAATATACTAAGTACATAAGTATACTATGATTCATCAAGAGCTTAAGTTTATTTAAAAGCAAGGTTATTTTATGATAATTGAAATCACATAACATGGTGTACAAAAATGAAACAATTCAAAACGAATTATTATTGAGAAATGACAGATATGTAATATACACACAACCAAACTTATATGGAATCATCTATTATTTTTCATAATTTTTAAGATGTATGAGCATTTTTTGTTTATGAATAAAACACCCAGTCCTTACCAAAGACTTTTAATGACAAATAACCCACATGGCAATAAAAATAATAAATTAGTTGACAAAATAAACACAATGGTATTTTTTGGTTTCTGAAACGAAATGAGATTTAATTTTTAATTGCCAAAAAGCAAAAACAGAAAGAAAATTGGTAACTTTTACAATCCGTGTTACCACTTCTAGCCCTTAAGCAAGCTTCTATTCGCCTTGGCATGCTTATTAATAAATTGTTAACATTGTCTTGGAGTATGTTTTCTCATTCTGCTAATGCTGCATCAATAAGCTGTGCGACATTTCCTACATTGTTTCGACGAGCTCAATCCCTTCTTTTGAGCTGGTCCCACAAGTGTTCGATAGGATTTAGGTCTGGTGAACATACAGGCCAGTCTAAAACTGTGACACCTTTCGTTTTAAGACATTATCTAGCCACTCTGCAGGTATGAGGAGGTGCATTACCGAGCATAAAGAAAATTATCCCCAATTGCAGCTCTCCAAAGTATAACGATTGGTTCTAACACTAAATCAACATACCTCGGACCGGTTAAAATTAGTAGAAGTGGTAACAATGGAGTTTTTGCTCCCAGCATAATATCTCCTTGGAACATTACAGTTCCTCCTTGATATCTTGGGACCGATCTGTCAGCACAGAGTCTCGCTCATCTTCCTGGAGCTCTGAGAACCCGAATTCAATGGTCATCTGATCTTATACCATTCTGGTCTCATCCGATAAAATAACATTTTGCCAATTTTCAATTGTCCAGTGTTGGTATTGAAGGCATCAATTTAGCCGGTCAATTTTATTTTGCCTAGATAACGGTGAGACCCGTAACTCTCTCCTACTGTACAACCGTCGAGCGCGAAGTCTTTTTCTTATGGTTTCAATTGAAACGTTCACACCTGTAGCTTTCAGAAGTTGTCGTTGTAGTTCTGGATAAAACACACTGGGACTACTTCTAACAATTTGGCACACAAAGCGGTCCTGTTGTTCAGTTGTGACTTTTTGACGACTTTGTCTGGGCCTGTTCTTGAGAGTTTCTAGTTCCAAGTACCTTTCATATTTTTTCATTACAACACCCTAGGTATCGCCTACTACCTCTGCTATGTCTCATTGGGACATTCCTTGTTCAATGAGAGCAATAATTCTTCCCCTCTGCACTCTGTTAGTCCAACATAAGGCATTTTGTTGTTTTTTGGACCAAAATAAAATTACCGGAGGATCATGATTTCACTTCTGAATACAAAATTCACAAGATAATAAATCGCAGCAGTCGTTTCTTTTTTATTATCATGTTTGTTTTGAATAAAATGCCTTATCTTAAAGTTGGATACCAAATTTTTTCCTTACAAAAAGTATATTCAGAAATACACATGGATTCCAAATAAGTTTGGTTGTGTGTATTATACAGGTTGCTAGTGAAATAACTCCCTTAACTGTCAATTGCCAAGAAAAAAATGCACTGCTATAATTAAAAGAATAAACGAACTTATCCTTAAGTTCTATCTTAATTATATGCAGTATATTTTTTCTACGACCCATTACCGAAAATCTACAAATTTTAAAAATTTATTTAGGTTATTAAGATACTACAGATCTTTCTCATGGCAGTTCAGTACGCTCTCTCTCTCCTCAGCTCTATCGACACACCTTACTTTTTAGTTTTAATACTTATAATTAAATTGATATAATATGGTTTTTTTTAGATAAACAACTTTTAATTCTTTTATTTTTGTTGGTAGGGAAACGATAATATTAACCGAATTGTAAATATGCCTTAAATATTTACATTTTTGGGTGGGGATCATTGTCATAAATGGTATATTGTTCGATGTCATAATCGAAAATATTTCCATATCTCGTTATTAGGTATATTATCATCAAACATGTTTATACTGAGTTTATAGCCAATGTACAATTGAATGTTGTATCACGATAATGCACCAGCACCTGTGTGCTGCGGGTCTATACCCGTTCGTACCACTTAGCATTTACAAGAAATCATCTTGCCTCCGCTTGGACCCTACAGTTCTTATCTTGCTCCCTGAGCTGTTTATTTATTTGCGCTGACAAGAATGATACCTTAATTGCAGCTTGACAAAGTGCATGTCTAGAGCTTAACAATGATGAATGGACCAACATTTTTGATTTGTGATTTGAACGAATGCATAAATTTATTAAAATAAACGGAGCTTACTTTGAAAATTATTAAATATTTTATATCAAAATCTCAAAACTAATTATAGGTTCCGATGTATATTTTTGTTTTTCTTCTGGATATTTATTCATTACAATTATCATTATTCATAAAGGTAATTTGATGTATTATTAATTAGTTGGTTAAAGATGCACCAAGACGATTTTGAAAAGACCCAGAAGTGAATTTTGTACTCAGATATTTTGGTAATAAATTTGCCTATCCTGAGAGAGGCGAGAGGAAAGGAAAACTATTTCAAAAACTATTTTTCTCGGTAAAAATGTTCCGGAACTGAACAGTATCAAGCATATTAAAACAAATTTTTACCATGGTTTGAAAATGGCTATTAAATCAAAATAGTCTGATTCGAAAAAAAAAAAAAATTGGCAAGGCATAAAATATCAAAAATATTTTAATGTTTTTCTGGACTAATTTTCAGAATTTCCCTCAATTAAAAAGTCATCCTATTTGTGTTATATTTGCAAAATTTATTACATTGCGTTAATCGAATTTTACAAGAATATATGATGTTAAAAAAAATAGATTCCAGAGCTTTCCATTTAGATTTTAACAAGTTTAAATTTGCTTGTGTTCTAGTTTTTCTCTGTTTTAAATCATTTCAAATAATAAAACATTGGCAATTCGTTGAAGTAAAAGAGAATAAGTATTTTTTTTTTAATTGGTTAATGGAAAGATCAAAATATATGGGGCATAACATTTATCATATTAATATGTATTTTGTGACTAATTGATTTTTTTTTTTTAGATTACATAGAACAAAGATTTTCGTAAGTGATTATTTTAGAATATCGTCGTTGATTCTGCAATATCTGCTATGTGAAAAATACTATTTTGTGAATCCTGATACACATATCAGCTATTACTGTCTATAGTTTGAATGTTGGCACATAACAGTGTTTTATTATTTGATTTATAAAATCAACGTATTTTTTTAGCACATATCAGATATTACCAACCAATGCACGAACGTTAATATAGCTCGAATACAACCAAACCTAAAATTCGCCATAAAGTGCACATAGCAGGTATTGCACAATCAACAAAGATATTATCGGCATACAAGGCGTTGTTTTTTTGGTATACTTAATAAACTTCAATAAAATTACTTTACAAATATTTGCAAAATATTGTGCGTTAGATAAGAGTATCATCATACAGCAAAAATGTGTATATATATATTTGCAAATTTTCATAATTTCCCATCCAATCGACATTGTATTTTCTTTAGAAATTTCGGACCTATTTGTGGAAATTTTGTTATATGATAAATGTTATTGTTTGATTCGATATTTTTATTATTAAAGAAAATTTCCTCCAAAATACACATGATTATTTTCCGAGAATTGAAAAAAATTGCTTTGAAATTTAATTTATTTGCAATATTTTAATAGTTTTGAATGAAATTACTTCATATTTAGGTATAAATTAAGTTTAAAACGCCTATATCTCGTTTGTGATGAATTTTCCGGGGAAAATACAACCTTTAATAAAGAAAAACTTTTTTCCAAAAATCAATAATAAAAAGTTTTCCGGTATTTCCAATAATGTTCTAATCACACTGTATCGTAATAAAATAAACATATTGGCCTGTGATCCTATATAATATTAGCATTAAACAAAATCAGTTATTAACTTAAGAGGGATTTCATCCTTTTAATAAAGGATTTGCTAAAACATCAAACATGCACTTTGTTAAAAATAATTTCATAAGAAGATTGATGCTGAATAATAGGTATTGGTAGTTATTAATAGTTTTAACACTAATAACAGCTCTCTAAATATTATATATAAATAATAAAATAGTATTTCTATTGTTTATCAAACATGAATTAAAAAAAAAATATCGTTTTTAGCATTTGATTACTATACACAGGAACAATCCCCCTTAACAGCAATAAACAGATTTCAAATCATGTCTAAATGTAAATAAATCGAGTAACAAAAAATACTTACTAAAAAATTCAGTTCCTTCATTCACTCTATGCATTCACTTTCTAAACACAATTTTGCAACACAATTTAACACTTGCAATGAATTCCACTACGTCACTTATAGAACAAACCAGGAAAGGCCATCGGCATACGTGCGAGAGCCCTTAGGCACAGGAACTCGCTCAGATCAGCTGTTCGGCCGCAGCTTCTTCACCACATATTTGAGAAGGCAAACCACGCATTACGTCATCCCGCGAAAACATACGTTTTTTGATACATTATGTTTATCAACAGAAGAGTGAAACAAGAAATGCGCGACTTGCGAGGAACTGTTGGACGAGCTTGCCAAACGGTAACTAAAAGTAGTCTGCACTAGGCGTAGGTGAGCGAGTACGACGGACTACGCTGATGATGGTGTGCTGGTGGACAACACGCGCGTAATTTTAATTCTCGGCGGCGGCATCGGCATGGGCTGCGTGGGACGTGATCCTCCAGCGGACCGTTTTATACCCTCTTTGAGCCCTTTTCAGCGGAAATTCATACGTATTATAAATGCAACCATCATTATAAGTATATCCCTTACACATAATGAGTGGAAAAAATCAGAAAATAGCGAATATCTAGCTGTGTGAATTATTTTGGACATTCAAAAATATAAGTAAAATAGATTTTATGGATAATCTCATTAATTTTAATTATTAACCCTAGAGTACTAATACTCTTAACATTTACGACGCCGAATTATTTCTCCCGAAATTTAGCAACAACGAAAAGTCTTGCAGATTTGGGTCTCCCAGTAGCTTCCTCTCAGTGTTGCCAGTCTAGTACAATTGTACTAGATCTAGTACATTCTCTAAGAATCTGGTACTCTAGTACACTCGAAGCAAAATCTAGTACTTTGCTTTTCTCAGCGTATGTTTCCATTTGACGTGTAAAATATATTGGAGATCTTCCTTGTTTGTGTTGTTCGTTTTTTTGCTTTTCAATGAACCACACCATCACAATTCGAAAAATCTAGGTACATTTTATAGAATCTAGTACATTTTTAGGGAATCTGGTACATTGTTTTTACAAATATATTCTGGCAACACTGCTTCCTCAATCCTCTTTAGTACTGTGCTAATCGTTGGTGGGTCCACGTCGGTCGGATTTTCAGCGGAAGTGCGGAAATTACGCATCGCGTCGTAAATATTACGACGCTTTAGTGTTAGTGATAGTATTGGCGATAAGAGTATTGTTTTTTTTTTGTTTTTTTGCTGAATTTTCGATTTATTGTGTAAGTAGACTAATAATATTTCTTATTTTGTAGAAACAATATGCAAATTTTACAGTAAAGCTAAGATTTATATATTTTTTAATTTCAGAAACTGAAAAATGGCAAATAAACCACTTACTGCGTTGCAGTTGCAGCAAGAAATGGAATAAATTATGAATGGAGAAAATGATTTTAATGAACCGTACGAGGACAGTGGAAGTGACTGGGAGGAAGACCATTTAGAAGAGGAATCGGTACATTCTGACAGCAGTTCAGAAGAATATAATATAAACGAGGAAAAAGTCAAGATCTAGTAGAGGAACATCCAGAAGAAGCTCTTTTGTCATATGATCAAGAATCATCAGATGATGATGAACCTTTAGCCAACCTATGTCGAAGCGATCCAAATATAGTTTTTTCTAAACAAATAAACATGAAAGGTAAGAATGGTTATAAGTGGTCATCTAAAAATCTAAACAACCAGTAATGTCAAAGAGAGTCAGCTCAAGGAACATCGTTCATTTTATATCCGGTTGCAAAGGAGAATCTCGTAACTGTTCTTCTATAAAGGACCACTTTCTGTACTTCACGACAACATTCTTGACATAGTTATTTGTTACACCAATGAAGAGATTGTTAGACAGTCTTCTAAATACGCTGCAAATTCCACTACGATATCAAAACTTTGCAATACTATTTTTTTCTGCAAACAAAAATACAGTCATCTAAATACTGGACACATATTTGAAGGGACCATAGCGGGAACTTTCTATCATGCCTGTATGAGTTTTTAGTAAACTGTCTCAGATTTGACTATAAAACTACGAGGGAAGAACGAAGGAAAAATTACTCATTCACTCCTATTCGTCAGATATGGAATATTCTAATGGATGTATGCAGAAGTTCCATCATCTTATCTCACCATCGATGAAGAGCTTTAGGATTTAGAGGAAGGTGCCCATTCAGTATGTATATTCCTAATAAACCGTCAAAGTACCATATAAAGATTGTTATGGTATGCGATTCATCCTTCATCTTACAAATTTTTATACGAAAGAATCAAAAAAATCGGTTAATGGTAGTAACCGTAACATTACCATGGATAACTGGTTACCGTCAGTTTCTTTGGCGGATGAACTTTTGGAAGAGCCGTACAAACTAACAATTACAGGAGCTCTGAGAAAAATAAAAAAGAAATACCACCATAACTATTGAAAAATAGGCCGCGAGGCACATCAATTGATAAGAAAAAGACATTAGTTTCCTATTCACCAAAACCTAATAAAATAGTGTTGTTACTTTCCACTATGCATGAAGGTGCATTTCTAAAAATGTAAAACCTGATATAATTATAAATTATAATGAAACTAAGTCAGGAGTAGATACTTTTGATCAATTCTGCAGTGTAATATGACCTGCTCCAAAAAACACGCAGATGGCCTGTGTGTTTTTTTTTTATGGGATGATTAACATAGCTACTACCATCAATTAATTTATAGTATACTGCCATAACTTTCATAAAGCTAATACGAAGCCTGCTTCCCGCTTCCAGTTATGTTTGATTTAGGCAAAGGCCTTGCTGAACCATGGATGCGCCAAAGATTGAACATCCCTAATTTACTTCGCAATATTCGACAGGATAGAAACATACAACCTGTTCCTGAACCATTCGACCCTATGGAAAAGAAACTAGCCGTCTAAGAAGAATAACAACAAACTTTTGTGTACAGTGTAAGCGAGCAATCTACGGACAACATAACATAAATTTTTACCCAGAATGTCCATTTTCTTAGAACATAATACACTTTTACAAACCATATCCCACGTTATCGATTTTATTTGATTATCTGATGATAAAAAACTTTTTTTGTTGGAAAATATATTTTAATTTTTTAAAATGCGTTTTAATTTAAAGACGTAAATTTTACGACGTATTAGTATTACAGGATAATGAAATCTAGTTAAATAGTAAATAGTGTGTGTGCAGTGCACTGCTTGGGCCGCCCACTCATCGCCTCCTTTAGTTGTTCTAGTAGTCTTTATAGGCATATACCTGTCAAAAAAATTAATTAACAAGTTTGCGAACAGAGACACTTTCTTGTCAACAGTATTTTGATCAAAAATAAAAAATGTGTATTGAAATTATTTTCAGTTGAATTGTTCGATACACCTTCTTTTATTTTTGATCAAAATACTGCAAGAAAGTTTCGCTGTTCGTAAACTTGTTAATTAATATTTTTGACTACTAGAACAACTAAAGGAGACGATGAGTGCGTCTGAAATAATTTCTGTGAAATGCAGCTCTACAGCACTTATGTACCAACCTACACTGTCAAAGATGCATACTTTAGCTAATATGAATTGAATATGTTATTGAAAAATGTTCAACTGCCCAATATGCATAGGCGTACAGATAAAAGGTATCTTAAAAATAATTTATCTATTTAATCATAACTATTATCATACTTATTATTTACCGATCACAAATTCAAAACTTTTATATACCTACTCTTTAAATACCACATAATTGACTAAATGTAAAAATCTCCCGTGATTATATACCAAATTATAATTCTCATCCAACTGTGGTACTGGTTGTTATTAATAGATTCTGGCTAGAATAAGAAAAATTTGACCAAAGTTGCCCATGTCTTAGCAAATTACTAATTTGTTTCAACGCGACGGAAATCCATCACTATTTCTTCTACTACAGGCATAGCCAAATAACGGCCCAATAGCTACATGCAGCCGTCGAGTAAGATTTATCCGACGACCCACCCTCATTGAATTTTTTCTGTTTCATATTAACATGGCCCGCCAAATTTGTGAAGGTAGAATACGTCGAATAATATTTCTCATACGATAGCGACTAAGAGAGTAAGGTGGTTACAAACATTTTGACAAAACAAAAAAAACCATTTCAAAATCAACGAAAGTGGAGATTTAAGGCTGCTACTCGCCAATATTGAACCAGATTTAGCAATATTGGTAGAAAATCACTAGGTTCATCCCTCACAGAGAATTTTTTATTTTTCAAAAGAAAAAATTACCTAATTTAGTATTTTTACGTAATTTGGATTAATAATTATTAATTACACTTGATATTTACTGAATTTTATGTCTATTAATTTTGTTAAATTTAACCAACCACAAAGTTTTTAAATTGGTATTTTATATCAATAGAAAAAAACTAGAGATATGATTTTTCAAGTAATTTGACTATGTCTGAGGTATCAGTTCATTTCAAGGGGTCTCGTGCCCAAAATAGTTTGGGAATCCCTGATTTAAAACCGTATGGTTTGTTGTATAACCATCATGTATTTTTTTGAACGTATACGAGATCTGTTAAAAAGTATAATTTTACTCGAGAGTACAGTACACATATTTTTGACAAATCTCGTATACGACTGATAAAATTTGATATAAGATGATTGAATTTTAGGTTTTAGGCCATGCACAACTATTTATGAAGAATAACTTTTTTCCTAATAATAATAAAAAAAATTTCATATTCCGCCAACCTACGTAGACATTTGGTGGCATATGGAAAACTTTTCTTATTACTTATTTTAGGAAAAAGTTATTTTTTATAAAAAGTCGAGCATGATCTTAATCCTAAATTACTATTAAATATTAAATTTTATCATTCGTATACTAGGTTTGTCAAAAATAAAGGTACTTTAATCTTGAGCAAAATCTATATTTTTTCACGCACCTCGTATACGGCTCAAAACATTCAATATGTTATAAATGTATTTGCAGTTTTAGACCATGCAAAACTTTTTATAAAGAATAACTTTTAACTAACAATAAAAAAATTCCCATAAATTATCATAATTTAGGTAGGTTAGCAATGATTTCAAAATTTTTTAAAATACAAACTTATAAGATAACGAATAGTAATGTTAGACCTGGTGCGTATTATATAGAGTGTTTTGAAACATGTCATAAAAATGTGACTCATTTAAAGTTTAATTTACTCAATTTTTTCAAATACAACACCTTATATATCTCTTCAGCATTAAATTTATTATGAATTAACCCATCCAACGATTATATAAATACGCCATCAGTGCGTAATTGATTCATATCTGTTTTATTATTACAGATAACGGAGAAATGTTTAATACAAAAGT